GAGGAAAGACAGGTGTGTGAGGTGCGGGTCTGCAATGTTGAGAAGTAGACCAGATGTTGCCTGGCTTTCAGTGTGTTGACATTGCAAAAGACAAGTCTAACTTAGCTTAATTCAAAAAGGAATTAGAACTGAGGGAAACTCTTTTTTACCTAGTAACTAGGGACAAAACTGGTGTCAAACATTGGAGAAACTCAAAAGTCTACAGGGCTCTTATTAATGTACAGGGACCAGATTGCTATTGCAGTTGGGTTCCTACATGCCCTAGGGGAGGGCAGACAAGAGGTTCTGGACTTACATCATCACCTTTAAATGTCCCCAGGAGATGGAAACTTTTTTTTAAACTCCTGCCTCTTAAAAAATATATATATAGATAGATATATAGATCTATATCTACCTGCATTTATAGATATAGATCTATCTATATAGTTCCATCCCAGAGATGCTTCTGATTGGTATCTTGAGTCATAGCCTTTGTGGAATTAGCACTAGCCCAAGGGCTGGACACTGAAACCCTCTCAGGTCCAGGTCATAGGTGCCTATAGCCAGTGTGATAAGAAATACTGTAACTAGCAGCTCTACTAGATTCAGAATTACCAAATGGAAGATTGCCTTGTTTAGTAAACAGGATTGAGAGTCTCGGGGATGTTCCCCAGATTAGAGGCTCTTATGCTTTTCTAAGGACAAGTGGAGAAGATTGCGCTGCACACTTATGCAGAGCATTTCACCAGGGATTTTTTCTCTCATCTTCAGTGATACTCCAGGGTTTTCTGAGAGGGGGATTCAGAAGAAAGTTACACTTTTTTCTTCACATAAAATCAAAGTAGGGGCTGGGAAGGTAGCTCAGTGGTAGAGTGCTTGCCTTGCATGCATAAGGCCCTGGGTTTGCTTCCTCAGCACCACATAAGCAGAAAAAGCTGGAAGTGGTGCTGTGGCTCAAGTGGTAGAGCGCTAGTCTTGAGCTGAAGAGCTGAGGGACAGCGCCCAGGCCTAGTGTTCAGGCCCCACGACTGACAAAAAAATAATAAATCAGAGTAATGGCCTGAACACATGAAACTCCTGTAGACAGTTGGTGAAAGGACACTTCCTCTGAGGAATACTCCCTGAATGGCATTTAGGCAAGAATCCTCCATGCGATCATGGAATCTGTGCTCTTTGTTCCTTGGGTGTAAAGAAGCATCATGGATTCCCCTTAACCACAGTTCTCTCTCTCTCCCCATGTCTTATCCTGGCCGCCATCTTCCCTTTCCCACCAACCTGCTCAGATTCTCTAAAGCTTGCACAGACCTTTAGCCATGTGTCTAATTCCCACTTGCTCAGTTACCCCATCCTTGCTCAGTAAAGCAATGGATTCTCCTTCAAGGAAGAAGGAAGAGCTGGGTGCTGGTGGCTCACGCCTGTAATCCTAGCTACTTAGGAGGCTGAGATCTGAGGATCGTGGTTCAGAGCCAGCCTGGGCAGGAAAGTTGATGAGACTTATCTCCAATTAACCACCAGAAAACAGGTGTGGCTCAAAGTGGCCAAAACGGTAGAGCACTAGTCTTGAACAAAGAGCTCAGGGACAGCACCTAGATCCCGAGTTCAAGCCACATAACCAACAAAAAGTGAAAAAGGAAGAAGGAAGAGAGAAGAAAGAAAGCAAACATAAAAACATTTTCCTCTTTCAGATTGGGGCTCCATAGCTAAGATATGCAGAAAAGCCTAGAGATTTTGGAGTCACACACTAATTGGGTCCTGTTCACCTAACTCTCCCTTTGTATGTGGTACTATGATTTATCTATATTCTCATATATGCAATTGGGAGAACCATATCCCCAAACTTTAGATCTTAATGATATTTGAAAGATGGAAACTTGGTGCCAGTCCTGGGGTTTGAACTCAGAACCTGGGTACTATCCCTGACCTTTTGTGATTAAGGCTAATAAAGCTCTACCACTTGAACCACAGTTTCACTTCCAGCTTTTTTGGATGTTTAATTGGAGATAAGAGTGTCAAGGACTTTTCTACCTGGGTTGGCTTCAAATAGTGATCTGCAGATCTCAGCCTTCTAAGTAGCTAGGATTACAGGTGTGAGTGACTAAGGTGGGAACTCTGGAAGGTGAAGAGCAGAGTCCTTAAGAATGAGTTAAACTGTTCCTAGGTTAATAGGTTGTGGAAGGATATTTGTTATGTAAGTAAGCTCTCTCTAGAATACTTGTCTTGCTATGTGATGCTACTGCCATGTTACCAGATGCTAAGCCAGGGCCAAGTTGTTGGTCTCCCCAGTCTTTAGAACTGTGAACCTAGTAAGGTTTTCCTGTATAAATTACTCAATCTTAGGTATCTGTGAGGAAAACAGATGAAGTCAGGAATATAGTATAGGCCTCAGATGGAAATTTCTATATCCTGGGCTCTCTTACAGAACTCTTCAAAGAGAATGTGAAAGTAAAAACGAATAGCTTGTACACTGCACTCCACCCTCCAGGATACTTTCAATTTTGTTTGGCCTTTTTTTTTTTTTTTTGGTTGTGGGGCTCACACACTTTCCTGCCTGGGCTGGCTTTGAACTGTGATCCTCAGATCTCAGCCTCCTGAGTAGCTAGGATTACAGACGTGAGCCACCGGTGCCCAGCTTTGTTTGGCTTTTGTCTGCCACAGCATTAAGAAAAAGTAAGAAAAGTAATACCTGAACCTATTTGAGAGCAGAGGGTGAAGGGAAGCAGAAGTCACTCTGCTCTCAGACTGGAACCTCTTGGGCTGGGGATGTAACTCAGCGATAGAACACTTGCATTAGCATGCACAGTACCAGTACCACCACAATAATGGGCCCTCCATTTTGGATTTGGATGACCTTACAGGCAGTCACTAGCTCAATGAGCTCAGCAGTGGGTTGGTTGAGTAATGGTGAATGTAAAATTCTGGTATTTACATTGTCTCTGACTCTTCCAGAAGCTGATGAGTGTATATGTGATAACGATCATGTGCCCCTCACATTATTAACAGCCCACACATCCTAATTGTGCCAGATGTTGGGCTCAGCATCATTACTCTCCTTTTGGGGAATGTGTATTCCTGTATATCATCTGATATCACCATTACCCCATCTTAAAGATTAGTAAAATGAGGCATGGAAGAGGAAACGTACCATAGACCCTATAGCAAGCATCCTGACTCTTAGACCCAGGACTGGCACAGAGTGGTGGGAATAGAGGGAGGATTCTACTTCTCAGGTAGGTTCTACTCAGAATCAGAGCCCAGTACAGGGGAAGAGCCTGTGTTTGGTTATTCATTCATTGTGGAATGCCTACTGTGTGCCTGGTGTGCTGGAAGCTATTGGTTTAAAGTACTTTCTTTTTTCTTTTTCTTTTTGGTCGGTCATGGGGCTTGAACTCTGGGCCTGGGCACGGTCCCTTAGCTCTTCAGCTCAAGGCGAGTGCTCTATTGCTTGAGGCACAGCGCCACTTCCGGTTTTCTAGTGTTATTGGAGATAAGAGTCTCACGGACTTTCCTGCCTGGGCTGGCTTTGAACCGTGATCCTCAAATCTCAGCCTCCTGAGTAGCTAGGATTACAGGCATGAGCCATTGGTGCCCAGCTTAAAGTATTTGTTAAAAGTACTTTTAAACAGTAGTTTGAATTTTTTTTTTTTTTTTTTTTTTTGAGTCCGGTCGTGGGGCCTGAACTCTGGGCCTGGGCGCTGTCCCTCAGCTCTTCAGCTCAAGGCTAGCGCTCTACCACTTGAGCCACAGCTCCACTTCCGGCTTTTTTCTTTCTGCTTATGTGGTGTTGAGGAATCGAACCCAGGGCCTCAGGCATGCAAGGCAAGTGCTCTACCACTGAGCCACCTTCCCAGCCCTGAATGTTTTTTTTTTTTTAATGACATTTTTTTTTTTAATCTTAAGTAGTTGTACAAAGGTATTTCAGTTCAACATGTCAGCTTGTGGAGTACTATGTATCTTGATCAGTGCTACCCTTTTCATCATTCTTCCCACTTTGAATCACTTTTAAGTGTTTTAGGATAGTTTTGTAGAGAGAAGTGAGATACCACCTCTACCATCTCAGAGTCCTGATTGGGCTTGACAATTCAGTGGACATTAAATAAGATCAACAGGAGAAAAGCATATAAAGGACAAGCCTGTCTCCTGCTATTTTCAGACGGGAATTTTCATTCTCATTTTGAAGAAATAACAACAAAAAGACCAGAGTGATTTACTTGCACCTGGTATTTTTTTAAGGCCCATTATCAAAAATGCCACAGTGGTGTATATACTCATTATCAAGAAGCTAGGGTGGTGTGTTTTTTCCCCCCAGTCCTGGGGCTTGAATCAGGGCCTGGTCACTGTGCCTGAGCTGCTTTTTGCCCAAGGCTAGCACTCTACCACTTGAGCCTCAGTGCTACTTCTGGCTTTTTCTGCGTATGTGATACTGAGGAATTGAACCCGGGGCTTCATGCATACGGGCTTCATGCATCAGTCTACTACTGAGCCACCTTCCCAGCCAGGTGGTGTATCTTTTAACCCCAATTTTTCAACTCAGCTCACTCTTGGGCGGAGGAAATCAGTATATGGATCGCAATCGTTGCGACAATGCACTCAAAGATCAAATGCAATGAACCCAACAGAGTTCTTAAATATTATCACGGTAAGATCGCCCTGCCCGCCCTGCTGGGGTGAAGGAGGAGGCGAAGCCAGAACGCCCCGGGGCGCGGCCGCGGAGCAGGCCTTGGGGGAGCCAGGCCTCCAGCTGTCCCCAGTGGCAGGAGCGGGAGCGGGAGGCCCACACCAGCCAGTCGCACGGGGCAGGGGCGGAGCGACCTGGCGCTGGCCCAGGCGCTGCAGCCATTAAGCCGGTCCGAGAGCGGAGATGGTGCGCCAGGTGGGCACAGAGCTTCTTCCTGGACTCTAAGGACAGGTGAGCCTCCGGGGTGTTCCCGCTGTCCCGGAGGGCGCCCGGGAGGTGGAGGTTGGAGGCGGGGCGGAGGTAAACAGGCTGGACGAGCTGCTGTGGCCTCCCCGCCCTCGGCGCTCCTCCCTCCACCGGGCACCGGGGAGGGGACGGAGGAGGAGCCCGGGGAGCGCCCTGTCACCCGCGGCGCTCCAGGAAGCCGGTCCTGAGTGTGAGTGCACTGCTGAAGCATCAGGTGAGACATCCTTGCTCTCCTACAAGGGGTTTGCCGGTGCCCGGCCCGGTGCAGGGCAGGGAGGGAACGCGGTCCGTGCCCGATGCTCCTTGCCAGGAGGAGAGGCCGTGTGTGTTAAGAATGCTCTTTCTGTTTCCCCCCCTGCTTCAGGCATTTACGCCGTGGATAAAGTGAGACCCAGCTTGTCCGTCACCCAGGACCCCCTTCGCTAAAGATGATGCACGTGCCCTTTGTGAGTGTGGGGAGAGGTGGGGCGGGGGCAGGGCCGTGGTTTAAGGGTGGCTGTCGCCTTGGAGCCTCTATGGAGAGGTAGTGTTGGCGCTACATCTCCACCTGCAGCTGCTGGGTCTCTGGTGTGGGTCGCTTGCCACCTGTTGGAGGAAGTTGTCTCATTACGCATCCAGCCTGGGCAGAGCCGGAGGCTGGGCAGGTCTGTCTTACCCAGGCTCAGTAGAAGGCCTGACTCCCCAGGAAGAGAGAGGCAGTAAGGGGCAGAGGTCTTTCCATAGAATGCTGCCCTCCAGAGTGAAACCAGGATCCAGGATAGGCGCCTGGGGCTCAGTGTCTGAAGCTGGACCTGCTGTGTGTGGCCTTTTCTGGGGTCAACTGGTTCACCTCATGACCAGCACTCCCAGCAAATTCCTAGCTCCGGCTTCTCATTCTACCCTACAGTGAGGATCAGACATCATCATGAGGCCTAGGCAAATGTCTTTATCCAGCCTGGCAGGACCACAGGTTTGAGTATAGGGTTTTGAAGTAGACTATGGAAGCTGTGATCACCTCCATGTGCGATCAAGTTCAAGTTCACTCCCTTCTCCAGAATGAAGATTATGCCATTTACAACTTAGAAGTGCTTAAAACAGTACTGGGCACCCATACTGAGCACTCTACAGTAATTTATTTTCCTTGTTATTGCAACCCCTGAAAGAGCTTATCACAGAGTGCCAGATGGCTTATTTGCCATCTGGAGTGGCCATTTTTTCTTTCTTTTTCTTTATTTATTTTTGTGCTAGTATTAGTTCTTGAAGGCAGGGCCTGCGCACACTGTCTTGAGCTTTTCTTCTCCAGGCTACACTCTTCCCACTTGAGCCACAGTTTCACATCTGGCTTTTGGTAGCTAATTGGAGATAAGAGTCTCATGGACATTCCTGTCTAGGCTGCTTTAGAACCATGATCCTCAGACTTAGCCTCCTGAGTAGCTAGGATTACAAGCGTGAGCCACCAGCTCCCAAGTGTGGTCACTTTTCAATATACTCCTCCTCTATATGGTAACATTGTTCTTAGCAATAATCATGGAATGAATAGTAAGTATGTACAGAAAGGAAATGAAGACAGTGAACTTAATATATGTAATCATGCCAGTAAAAATAAAAATGAAGCTGAGTTTGGTGCCTGTAATCTCAGCTATTTGGAAGATGAAGGCAAGAGGATCAAGAATTCAAGGCCAGCCAAAGTTGGAGGGATCCTATTTCAAACTAACAAAACTGAGCAAAAATAAATGTCATCATGTGAAAACAAAGAGTAATGTATTCATAGCTTATAATTGTATTAATATACTTTGGAAAAAAGGAATGTTTTTATGCACATGGAGGTCATCCATAGTAGTGAATAATTATAATGCTACTGTTTCTGTTTTGGAGACTTCTGAAAAAGTTGTCTATGACTTTGTCAGACAAAGTCAATTCATATTCATATTCAATATTCACTAGAGCTAGATTTGCCAGTCTGTATTTGTTTGCTCATTTGATTGGAGAATGCTTATTGCTAATTTTATTTTTGAAAGTTGCTTTCATACGAAACAACAAAGATAGTTTAGAATAGTCCTTAAAGCATTTGGACTAGCTTGGCACACAGATTCACAATATAGCTTGTGGTCTTAAAAGAAATCAGTTCTAGTGGCTTTTAAATATCTCTACATTCAAAACATTTTCATGGAAATATCTAACAGAGAAACTTCATCGTACTTTTTAGTTTCATTTGTCAGAACTCCCCCAATTTTTCTTTTCCTTTAAGAATATGGCAGATAGGGCTGGGAAGGTGGCTCAGTGGTAGAGCACTTGCTTTGCATGCCTTAGGCCCTGGGTTCGATTCCCCAGCACTACATAAGCAAAAAGAAAAAAAGCCAGAAGTGGCACTGTGGCTCAAGTGGTAGAGCGCTAGCCTTGAGCTGAAGAGCTGAGGGAGAGGGACAGCGCCCAGGCCCAGAGTTCAGGCCCCACGACCGGACCCCCCCCCCCCCAAAAAAAAAAAAAGATTGAAAAAAAAAAAAGAATATGGCAGATAGAGAGTAAACTTTGACATTTATTTTCTCCACTGCTTTTAGAACAAGTCTAGTTCCTGGTTTTTCTTTCAGTTTCTTCTGGCACTAGGAGACCAGACTGGGCAAGAATACAAGGTTTAGCAATATAAACTGTGTCTGAAGAGAGCTTGAGCCATGTAGAACCATTAGGAACTGTTGAAACAGTGTGCTGACACTGAGCAGAAGACAAGATGTTCTTTTAAAGAAAAGGCATAAAAATGTATAAATTAGAAACTCATATGTATACATATATATACATACATATTATTAAATCTCAGTAGTAACTTCTCTCCTCCCCTCCCCTTTCTTCTCTGTTCTCCTCTCCCCTGGGTTATCCACTCCCCTTCCCTACCCTTTCTTCTTTGTTTCTTTCCCCTTCTTCAGTTTTCTTCTTTTCCTCCACTCCTTCTCCCTCCCCTCCCTTCCTTTTTCTTCTCCTTCCTTTCCTTCCTCTCCTGTTCCTTCTCTCTTCCTTTTCTTTCCCCTCTTTTACCCTTTCTTCCCTCCCCTCCCCTTCCTTTCTTTCTTCTCCTTCCCTTCTCTCCCTCTCTTTCCTTTCCTCCCCTCTCAGCAGGGAAACTGATCACTCCTCTTGGACTAAGCCCAGCCATCACAGTCATCCATCCCATGCAGAGGGCAGTCCCAGGTACTAAGGAGTTGAAATGTTGGGCCTAGATCTCCTCTTGGTGGTTGAAACTTGCTGGAAAGCGTGTGCCCAGAACCTTTTCCTCCAGCACTTAATCTCTCAATCTGGCTGGTTAAGCAAAGCTACGCTATCATGTGAAGTCTCATATGGAACCTGAAGTGGAAGCTCTGTAATGGGAAAACGTGATGGGCCTTTCCAGGGCTCTAAAGTCCAGAATCCGTTATTAACGGTTGCACATTCTTAGTTTGTTTGACAATCTGGAGACTCTCAGTGCAGCTAGTTAGGGGAGCTAGTGCAGCTAGCAAAGGGGAAGAGAAAGAAGACCTTTCTCCAGTAGAAGGCGGACTTGAGGTCGTATGGGGCTTTCTCCTCAGTCTGGAGGGGCCACAGGCTGAGAGGGACTCCAGGAACAAGCCAGCACATTCCTCTTCTGAGAATGTTGTATGTGCTGCACTGAATGTTGGAGAATTAGCCTTGTTCTGGTCCTCAGTTTGCTGCCCAAGTCTAGCTGTCAGACTGGGCGTGGGGGGCATCCATGTGGGCTCAGCCCAACAACTGCACATTGCGGTCCTCTCAACAGGTTGTTGCTGAAACAGCAGCAACTCGTGCTGCAGGGGGCAGAGGCCTCAGGGGCCTCAGGGCAGCGTTCAGGAATGCAGACATTGACCCTGACACAGAACCCTTCTCGCCCCTCCCCTCCTCTCCTCTCCTCCTCTGTCTCTCTCCTTCCTTCCTTCTTTCCTTCCTTTTCTTCCTTCCTTCCCTTTCTTCCTTCCCGTTGGTCATGGGGCTTGAACTCTGGGCCTGGGCACTGTCTCTGAGCTCTTCAGCTCAAGGCGAGTGCTCTGCCACTTGAGCTACAGCACCAATTCCAGTTTTCTGGTGGTTAATTGGCAATAAGAGTCTCACAGACTTTCCTGCCCCAGCTGGTTTTGAACCGCGATCCTCAGATCTCAGCCTCCCGAGTAGCTAGGATTACAGGTGTGAGCCACTGGTGCCTGGCTTCTTTCCTTCCTGCCTGCCTTCCCTTCCCTTCCTTTCCCTTCCCTTCCTTTCCTTCCTTCCTTCCTTCCTTCCTTCCTTCCTTCCTTCCTTCCTTCCTTCCTTCCTTCCTCCCTTTCTTCCTCCCTCCCTTTCTTCCTCCTTCCCTCCTCTTCTCTCTCTCTCTCTCTCTCTTCAGGTCTGGGTGCTGTCCTTGAGCTTTAATTTTGCTCAAAGCTAGTGCTCTATCACTCCAGCTATAGCTCTACTTCAAACTTTTTTTTTTACATAAGTTTTTTATTGTGAAGCTTTTTTTGTTTTGTTTTTTCTTTCTTTTTTTTTTTTTTGTCGGTCATGGGGTTTGAACTCTGGGCCTGAGCGCTGTCCCTCAGCTCTTCAGCTCAAGGCGAGCACTCTACCACTTGAGCTACAGCACCACTTCTGGTTTTCTGGTGGTTTATTGGAGATAAGAGTCTCAGGACTTTCCTGCCCGGGCTGGCTTTGAACTGCAATCCTCAGATCTCAGCCTCCTGAGTAGCTAGGATAAGAGGTGTGAGCCACTGACTCCCAGTGCTTTTTGGTTTTTAATTGGAGATAAGAATCTCATGGACTTTCCTGCCTGGGCTGGCTTTGGACCTTGATCCTCAGATCTTAGCTTCCTGGGTGACTAGGATTACAGTCATGAGCCACAGATACCCAGCTAAGTGTGTGGGTGTATGTTTAATTTCCAAAAAGTCAGGCTTCATTTTTTTTTTTGTTTTTCTTTCATGTGTTCCACCACTGAATTACACTCTAGCTATAAACCCGTGTTGAGGTTGAGTAGGGGTTTGCAGGTTAACACTGAAGGAAAACCTTTCAGCGCTGAGGCAGAAGTAGGCAGAGGTGAGTCTTGATGTTGAGGCCCTGGGAGCTGAGCGTTATCTGATACTCTGATACCAGTACCTTCGTGTGAATGACTTCACACAGGAACTCTTTTGTGTATATGTGGTACTGAGGGTTTGAACCCAGGTTTCCTGTTTTCCAGGCAAGCCTTCTACCTCTACTACCTTTTTTTTTTTAATCAAGAAAGGAAAATTAATGTAATGGTATACCTATATGCCACAATTTGTGCTATTTTCAAATGTTTAGTTAATATATGCTATTCTATAGGGAAGTGGTATGATTATTCACTTTAGGGATGTGAGAAAAAGTGCTGGATAAAATGGGTAGCGTTTCCCAGTGTCATAGATACAGAGGTACAGGTGGGACACAAGTGTAGAGCAGTGAGCTTCCATTAAGACTGTGGTCTCACAAAGGCCCATTTGGG